ACTCAAATAGGAAATTTTTCTGCCCACCATTAGACGTTTTTTTTTCTATTCAGTAAGATTACGTATTGGGTTTCGATCGACCTTTAATAACTACGAAACAATCGATTTACCAATCGATCAATTTTAAAATTTATTAATGAATGTTTTATTTGTAAACCTTGGTTTCATTTATTAAAAATTTTTAAAGTGAATTGTGTGTGAACTGAATAAGCTAGTCTTGAAGATTTCATTATCATTCCGCTGGGTAAAATTGCACTATGGTTGGGCTTTGAAAATTTGGTATGAAAGTCTTAATAGCTAAATTTGATGAACTGAAATTCAGTTGTTTAGAGCTCATAGTTTAAATGTCCCTCGTCCACCTATAACTGTAGTGATCGTCTAGTTTATTTCATTCTTGATCTTCAAGCCGCATGTTACTTGCATCACTGGGCTATAGAGAAGCCCCATCACGGGATGATTGTTATGTGCACTATCAAACAACTGAGATCTTTCGAACTAAATACCATTCAAACCGAAGTAGTCAATTACGAAGGCAAGACAATTAGAACGTTAAATTGATCAGTTAGATAGTAACATCGTCCAGGTTTCTTAATGGCGGTCTAACGATCATACATTTGTGATTTCAAGGTAGAATACTGTGTATCAAACAAGCTTCAACAACTTCAAGAAGATATAATTAAGAGAAACTGGTTACTTTCTTAGTGTTTTTCGGCCGAAATACAAATAAACAGTTAAATGTTAGAATGTATTAGTATATTCAAATTATTTTAAATAAATCAACAAAAGGTAATTCTAAGTAAAGTAAGAAATACAATAACTTCATAGGCTAATTCTTTAAAATACCACTATATTCAATTAGGCAACACATATGGTTGGTTGGTTAACATAATCCACATATTTTTATCAATTTTAAATAAATTCAGTTTCCTAAAATACAAGGAGCATTAAGCTTATTGAAAAGGCTTTTAAATTTAGTCTAAATCTCGGCATTAGGCAAAACTAATTAATTAAATAAAAACTATAATCGTAACGTTATTTTGCTACTACAAGGAATGATGTTTCTGAAAATTTTCAAACATTCACTCTGTTAGGTTAAGATACGAGGAATAAATTTATCCAAACATTCCAAACACATTCAAAAGTACGCTAATTCTTTACTTACCAAAATTTAGTGTCAAATAAAAGTAAAAGTCAGTCAATTATAACATAGCACTTCGTACGTACATGCGTCAGTTCAGACTGCCGTACCGCATTAGCACAGAGACACAATTGTCAGTTCAAATCCCATAGTGATAGAGATAGTAAAAGTATAAGTGATAAAGGAGAACATTAAGGTTCGAAGATATTATTCAAAAAGTATAATTCAGTGAGGTAAATTGGAAAAGAGAGACGCGATGAGGAACTCAGAAAATTAGAATTTTATAGAACACAAAGAGTGAATGCACCTGCATCACTGTAAACAGTTTTGAGCCAGGAAATTCAAAGTCTCTAACCGTCAGTTACTATCTTCTCGCTGACCCCAACCAGGCAGTCTACATCTACCAACATGACTCAGTCCTGTTGTTAGTGATTGCATGTATTTGTGTCATGTTTTGGTTTGGTCGCCCCTAGCTTTCTTCCAACCTACTCCTACACCACAAAATAAAGATCGTCGAGACAGTCGGTGGTTGAGCATTCGTGACACATGTCCTAAGCACCTCATCTGACGAAGTTTGACTACTTCATCTATCTGTCTGCCACCACTGCCTAGTACTCGTTTCCCAACAACAGCATCGCTTACTCGATTGTCCCAGGATATACGAGCAATGCTTCGAAAATATTCATAATCGAACATTAATAATCTACGAATATCTTCTACTCTAACTGGCCATGTTTCGCATCCATGTAGTAGGACGGAGTGTACTGCTGTACAGTACACTCGTCCTTTAGTCAGCGAACGGATATCTCGCCTACACCATAAGTGACGCAAGTTGGTAAAAGCCAATCGAGCCTTCTGTATCTGTACTGAGATTTGGTCACACATCAGGCCGTCAGCACTGGTGAGACTCCTGAGATAAGTGAAGCGATCAACACGCTCAACCGCTTCACTTCCTATCACTAGTTCAGCTGCCGACGCAAGCTAATCCTGAAGCAACATTTTGCATTCCAAGGGGAAAACCGCATCCCAAACATGCTTACATTGTTGCTTGAGGTAGTCAGAAGACTCTGCATTTTGTCAGCGTATTCACCAAGTTGGAGTATGTCATCGACATACTCTAAGTCAGCAAGTGAGTCTCCTGGTAGAAGGTCCACTGCTGAAAAGTCAGATGATGAAAGTGTCATATGTAAAAGCATGTATGTGACAAAGTTAAACAAGAGTGGAGAAAGTGGACATCTTTGTCGGACACTACTTGAAGTAATTCATTCCGATGACGGTTCGTCATAGAACCTCATTGAACCAGTGGTGTTCGAGTAAAGAAATTATGTAAGGGTAATGTACTTCTTTGGTACACTTTTTTACTACAGATACTGCCACAGAACCTCACGATCGACAGAGTCCAATGCCACCCTAATGTCGAGAACTGAAAGGTTAATAAAAACGATATATAAATATATTTATAAATAATTATTATGAATATTCAATAACATCCCGAAGAATAACCTCTTAGTTTTTATGGATCAATAAAAATTGTTGATAAATAACATGATTGAAAAAATGGATTGTTTTAATGAGGCAGATTCTTCTTGTAATGAAAGAAAAATTTAAGTTGTATTTCAAAACAGTGGGTGTGTTTGAAACCTAACTTAGCTTTTAGATTTGGAGGACAGAAATATATTTCAATCTTTAACCGTCACTTTGATGTATTTTCCTACTTTCTTGTAGCAATCATTATTCAGTTCATCTAGTAAAATTTGAACGTCCACTAGCCTTATTAGGAAATTCGCCTACCATACGGAGCTAAACTAATGCACCGGAAACCATGGTTTTGTATTTACTCACTTGCTTACATAAACACAATACATTCATTGGGGTTAGACTATTTATTTGCAGATAACTTTTAGCATCCGAATTTGTCACAAGTTAGGATAGGTTGGAAGAAAAGTAAAAATAGTTAAAATAAGATATGTAGATTACCCACTAGTTAGTAAAACACCTCTCTGAAAGTTTGCAGGATTTTGCACGTCCTAAGATTAAAGTCTTTATCGCTACACAATATAATGATATAACTCAAATTCCAATGATCAAAAAGGAATAGACGTGTACACATGCGGTTGTAAGTAGTTTGGTTCTGTTGCTTATTTGGTCAATAATCAAAACTTTTTTAAATTAAGAAGCAACCAGATTAATAACATTGATAGAAAACTTAAAGACATTTGAGTAATACCGTTATCTATCAATCTTAACGTAAACAAATATCAAGAAAGTTTCTTTTCAGCCTAGAAATTTTGACTTCAGAACAGACCATTAGTATGTAAATCTTGCTGAACATATCAGTGGATATTAAAACTTCATCTACATTTAGGCAAACAAATTAGCTCATCTACTTTTTATGATTCAGTAAATAGATCTCTAAAAATAAACATTCTTAAAGATGCCTATCTGAAAATAAAGTGAAAGATTCAATCGATGGAATTAGCGATGAATTTGCCCTGAATTTTGATGTTATGGCTAAATAATGAAGACTTTTGGTCAACCGTGTGCCTTACACTCAGGTACCTAGTAAATGATTCATTTTAAAATCTAATTTTAGTGCAAACTAAAACAAGTTAAGTATTAGTAAAAATGTATCTGCATATGAAAAGTTTTAGAAAATGTGAATTTCCATTGGATGGGTTTTTTGTTGAGAATAATGCTTTATATAATATGACTAGAGATATTATGAGTAAACCAAAAATGTTTCAGCTTACTACTGATAAAACTATTTTTTACTCCAGTGTCTATAAAAGCTGTTAAATAAAAATCAGTACCTCATCAGATAGTTGTTTAAGCAATGTAAAACGTAAATGTTACGTATAAAGACAAAAAGATATGGAACATGCAGGCATTATTAACAGGGTTTGCTTGATGACTTTGATCAAGTAGAGCATTTAGTGGATTGTTTCTGAGAGTGAAATAATAAATTAGTATTCATGAGTAGGTACTTTGATTTCTAGCCTTTCATGCCCTAATGTAAGTCCTTCCTAACAATATGAATAGATAACCGAACTAAATTTAAACAAATTTAGACATAGAAGGCGTAAAATTTCAACCTTAGAACTGAAAAACACGTGTTTGATTTGTCTTGATTTTTGCCACATCTTCATTGCCATTGTTTTTTTACAGTTAATGTTAATTTTTACATATTTACAGGGGTTTAAACATCCGGTATTATGTGTTCTAAAGCAGCCAGAAATATAAACTCGAAATTTGTAACAAACCATTAATTATTTGGATTATCAAATTTTAGTGCTATTTTTCCTATCTAACTTACGTCACTGGCCTTACTACGTTCAAGCATTTCTAAAGACGAAACATACATAGAGCTAGAGGAAGATGATTAGCGAAATGCAAAAATGGTTTCCTTAGAAATGTTTTGTTATTTGCTGGATCCGAATAAAGCTTTATTCGGCTGCAATTAAACAAGTACATAGTTGTAACTTGAATGTCAAATAAAATACAGTCTGTGAAATTGTATGCACCTCAGTTCACTGATAGTTTGAATAATTACTTTATACGAAACTAATTCTATAAGAGTTTTAGTATGCAATTTTTCATTTTATATAGGTTCTACAAGTTTAGCAGCTTTTACATTATCTGTAAAAAGGCAACGATTTTAGGCAGTAATACATTTTACGTCGCTTCATGACATCAGTAAACAGCCCTCTTGATCGACAACAGTGATAAGAATAAATATCTAGTACTAATTATTAAGCCGTACATATGTAATAAAAGAACCTAGTTTTATGATAAACTTCAAAATAGGTTTTCATTTAAGATAAAATATTTATAGGTTCTCTACAGCTAAAACTTCTAAACCTACCCCAAAGTAGTCATTGTCACAATTGTATACCAAAATGCTGCTGGTATACTACTGAATTGTGATGCTTCTGACTTCTCTGCATAAAACATTATTGTTGAAAAAATTATGACACCCATTGTTATTGTGAACAAAAGGAATCCAAGTTCTGACGCGCAGCAACGCAAAGTGCAGCCTAATATCCTCAATCCTTTACTGTGTCTCGAGAATTTGAAAATACGACAAACGCGAAACACACGCAAAGTGGTAAAAGCACCTGAAAATTCCTTATTGTTTGACATAAAAAGTCCCACATAATACGGAAAAACTGCGGCTATATCGATTATTGACATAACAGATCTGATAAATTTACATTTTGCTGGAGCTGCATACAGCCTTGCTAAATACTCAATTGTAAATAAAAGTACGCAAGCAGTATCTAAACAGAAGAATGCGGCGTTGTACTTCTCTCCACATGGAACATTTTCACCAGTTTCAACACTGATACCACACGAAACAGTCTCAGTTATATTAGCAAGTACCGAAACAGCAATAAAGAATCCCGTTACATAATAAAGTACGACTGCTAAAGTTGAAGCTTGGGGATTTTCAAATGCACGCCATAACCTATCTCTAAAACTTTTTGGCAGCTGCTCCTCTTCAGATGCATCCTCCTTTTCTTCCTGCTGTCTTTCTTTATTTTCCCTGTATTTGTCAAGATATTCCTCATAGCAACAATCTCCCATAATTTCTGGCATAATGCCGAAATACAACAATTCTTCATGATAAGCAGTCACACAATAATCCTTCGGTAGATGTAGCTTTTCTGACCGGTAATATTCCATGATGTAACGGAAAAGTTCCGGATCTCTATCAAAAAAATATTCTTTTGAAACCGGGTCTTGAAAATAATCTTTCTCATCAGAACCGAGCAGTGTATCAGGAAATTTCTCGAGCGTAGACTTTCTTGTCTCAAACCTTCGTCCGCTTACATTAATCACAATTTTACTATCCTTAATATATTTTTTATTTGTGATCAGAGGCTCATCGGGTAATTTACTTTGAAGTAATGGTGTCCAACCAATAGCGGAAGCTCTAACAACTGGAAGCCAAGATGGAATCATCCGAAAAGTTTTGAATGACAGTAATTAACGCATTTTATCCCACTTATGTTCGTATACATTATGGCAAATGACGTAATACAAAAGCCCGTATTGTCTCATAGCTTTTTCATAAGGTACACGACCTAAGACTGACCTTCAAGGTCAATTTGCGAAATCCAATACTACACCACAATTTTTAGGGCTTCATTCAGAAAACTAACTTGTGATAACCGTATGCTCACCCATACACGTAAAAAATAGGCTACGGTTTCTGCCAATTTATGGAATAGAATTGCTGCTCAACTCCCGACCACGATTCGAGTGCTCAGATCATTCGATGTCAAAGAAATAATCATCATACTATATGCTGAAATAAAATAAGTTGAACGAACTAATTTCACGTTTGGAGAAGAATGTGGCTATAAGAGCAATTAAAATCTTTCTACATGACAGTGAACCGATTGAGTAACCAATCTTAATCATGACTACAAAGACGAAATTCTGGACTTACTCCAATATCCGATATCTTTTTCACGAGCTGGTGTAAACCAAGTGAATTCTTTGCGCTCGATTCTTGTTCTTTCGGTACGGTTCAGGTATTTGGATGTGTGTAACCCCACTAGATGGAATAAGCATTGGAAAGTTTCATGAGCATGCTGCATCATGCTATCAAACGACCTGCGTATTGAATAGAAGTTCTCTACGTAATCTCGTTTTAATAACCGTAGAGAGCCTTGACACCCAAGTAAACTGGGCTGAGTATAAAACTAAGGCTGACGCAACTCTGCTCCATGTGAAGACGATTTTGTGCGATCACCTAATAACTGTTCATAACCCCCTTCAATGCATACGCATGCCCACATCCTGGAGTTTACAACGTCATTGCATCCTCTTTTCTTAAAAGAGGAATAAAACTGTGATGGAGTGCAGAGACAAACAACTAAATGGGTGGAAGTTGTTAAAGAATGCTTCGAAGGTAGACTTCAGCACTTACGACTATTCTGTCTGAGCTTCAAGAGAATCACATGTGATCTGACAAAGGCATACATCATATTAAGCACGCCATATTATCCCAACGTGAGCACATTGCAGAAGCACCACCACCCTCACGACACGTCAAGTGGCGTCAGAGAGAAAAAAGCTGAGGTTTGCGCACACTTTTTCTCATTAAGAGTTGTTGAAACATTAAATGCTCTCCCAGCCGAGAATACCACAGCCCCCTCAATGCATAGCTTATATCTACCAACCTGAAGACAGCTACATTACGATTATGATTGCTCCTACCAATGGAATTGAGCAGGTCGACATATATATATATATATATATATATTATAAATCAATAGAAGTTAGCATGTATGGTTGCTTGAGAAAAACACCGTATTCAAGTTAACAGAAGTATAGTCAGCGCAATTTGGAATTCAGATCTTCTGAGAAGTCACGTATTAAGGTAACAAGCAATTCCATAATATTCTACAACTACCCTAATCTACTCTCACTTATATCTACACAATTATCTATGAGATAAAAAGACACTATGTATATGAACAATCCATCCTGAAAACATCGGCTTGAGTAACAGGGGCATTTGGCATGGAGAATTAATGCAAAATCCCGTAAGGTACCAAGTAGGAAATAACCAACAGGTTACCTATGAAAAAACATTCGACAACCTCAACTTACCTGGGACTGCCTACTGACAGGGAGTAAAAGCACACGTAGATGTCTCATGAAAGTGATAATTTGTGCCTCGAGGTAACAAGATAAAGCTTATCAGAACCAGGTGTATTATTGTGATATAACTGTTGATTATTTTCATCGGTTACAGAAACTTTCTTGAACTTATGCTGAGGTCACCAACAAAGCGTGTTGTTGGAGTATATCATTCAGATTCTAAGCATCTGGAAGCTCTATTTTACTGTCGTTGACAGTCAGCTGGTCACTACCCTACTGAACTTCAATCTGAAGTGTAACCTATCCCCAAAGGAAATTGTTAAATCCTTGTGGGACCGGTGTATAACTTCTGCTTTCTAAATTCACTTCGCTGTGTAAAGCAATCACTTGACCTTAACATATTATATCGGTAATTGTGGGATTATATTTGTCCTGCAGATGTACAGCTATGACTATAAACACGATAATGGCGATCACAGAGCTTCTATGAAAGCTACAGTCAGAACAAGGACGACTTGTCTTTAAACTTTATGTTTCTAAACATAAAAACGAGTAGATTAGTACAATAATTAAGGAAATTACAGTTATCAAGCGAAACGAGCGAACATACTGACCAATATAACGTGTCTTATGGAAATGAATAAAATTGAGTCACATCAATTAGTAGGTCATTTACAATAAAGATAGTTCACAGACACATCAGACGAGACCACGTGGTGAGCGCTTAAACCGCGATTTGATTGGTTCTTCATGGAAATAACTAACAGTGATAAAACTTGCCCATTATCCTGAGGCCTTCAATACTTTTAAGTATTATCAAAGCACCACCATTACAATTATGATTGATCGTATGCTAGCTTTTCTTCTTTGTCAACTTAACTGCAAGGATACATACTTTTTACGAAAGGCATAGATAGTTTCTAACCACTAAACCTCGGGAAGACTTAGGAATTTAGCCATGCAGTTATTCCCAAAACATCCTCGACAGCGACAAGTGACAAGAAAATTTTAACTGGTTTGTTACTGGCCTCACGCGTTCACCTATTTACCTAATTTTAAAACTTTTTGCCTTACTTCATATCTAAAATGAGGATTTTAAGGATTATTAGGTTCGAGTGTCAAGTGGGCTTCATGACAAAGGGGTTTGACCGCTGGAATATGGGTAGGTTGGACACAGGTATTGCGTTGTTACTCAATTGCACCGGTTATCTCTACTGGAGAATAAGCCGCCGACTAGCGTTTTCTAGCATACTCTGTCCTAGGCCTTCCTTTGCAGTACTACTAAATAACTATTCATTCTTTTAATGCTGATCTCAAAGAGCATTTTCTTCTGTGTGTGCTTGTTTTTCATTCTTATGGTTCCAAATGAGGGCTTTCCACGTGATTAAAATGGATGCTTTACCCAGTGTGTATTCTATCCACACCGAGCATCTTTTCCTAATTTCTTCTTCATCTCTAATCTGGTTTGCTTTCTCTCTGAGTAGGTTTACGCTGATGGTGTCCACTCAAAGGACCCGACGTATTTTTCATAGACACCTGTTTATAAATATCTGTTTCCTTTGGATGATAGCTTTCGTGGTTCTCCGAATTTCCGCCGCATACAGCTGCATTGGTCTGGTTCCACCAGACTTTTAGGTTTGGCCCCCGCCATTGTCCAGCATCCTGCCCATATAGGGCGGGAAACTTCCAAGCCGTACTCGTCGGCCCCTCACCTCAGGTTGGTCTCCTATTTTTACATGCACGATATCCGTACTAACGCTAAGTACCTTGTTGACACAGGTGCACAAGTTTCTGTCGTACCACTTGGTAACAGCAAGCCTCAACCTACGATGCTTCGATTACGCGCTGCGAATGGTTCTATCATTAGTACCCATGGTACACGACAGCCGACGGTCAACCTGAGCATTAGACGACTGTACCTGTGGCCGTTCATCTTTCCTGATGTCCCACAGCCATAACCGGGATCGATTTCCTACGGCACTGTGAATTACTAGTCGATTCAAGTAGGCTGCAGCCAATCAGTACTTCGTCGAACAGCAAATTTATGTGCTTTCCAGCTCAAACAGGTGAGTACCGTATTACAGAGGAATTTCATTCCCATGATAACATTTTCCACTCTTTACTCGAAAAATTTCTCTAGTTAAACCACTAGGGGAGAATCTATTGGTGACCCATCATGGTTCGCAAAGAGGATGGGATAAGTTGGCGACCACGTGGCGACCACCGAGCTTTAAACGTAATAACACGTTTCGATAGCTATCCCATCCCCCATATAAACGACATCACGGCATCACTTAAGGGCACGAAATCTATCCTAAGAATGATCTGGTACAAGCATATCATCAGATCCCAGTCGCTATTGAAGATATCGATAAAAAAGCTATCATGACTCCTTTAGGTCTGTTTGGGTTCCTACGAATGCCATTTGGATTACGGATTGCTGCTCAAACTTTCCATAGGTCTATAGATAGCTTAGTAAGAAGTTGACGTCAGGCTTATCGCCCACCTTGACTGATTAGCCACGCTTAGTATAGCGGTTGATGCATCAGATTTTGCTATAGGAGCCGTTATGCAACAAAACATCTCTAGAGGTTGACAACCTCTCGAATTTTTCTCATGACGCCTCATTAACACTGAGACGAGATATAGCGCTTTTGGTCGCGAACTGCTAGCAGCCTACCGTGCCATCTAACATTTCCGGCACGCAGTAGAAGTTCGTGACTCTATCCTTCTCATCGCCCATTAGCCTCTAACGTATGCTCTGCATACCAAGTCTGACCGCTACTCACCACGAGAATGCAGACATCTGGGCCACATCTGTCAGTTCACGACAGACCTTCGTCATATTAAAAGCGAATCGAACTATTTTGCCGATACTCTCTCACGTACTCAAGTGAATGCAGTTACTTTACGGGTGCTTAATCTTCCTGCTATGGCCGCTGTCCAGTCAAATGATTCCTCCTGTTCAGAAGCACAACAATCTACATCCCTTCAGTGTGAGGAAGTACCACAGCCACCACCGCATGAGTATGATCACATACTCACATGCATCGAGCGTTTCAACAGATGGCCTGTAGCTATTCCTTTCACTTCTATGAAGGTGGAAACTGTTGCTCACCGCCACGTAGAACGATGGTTAGGGCTGTACGGTGGTCCCTCGACTGTCACAACCGACTGAGGACAACAGTTCCAGTCCGAATTATTCTCCTCGCTAACCCGGCTGCTTGGTACGGAGCGCATACGCACTACCGCCTACCACCCAGCTTCGAATGTTTTAGTTGAACGCTCTTCAAGTACACGAAAACAACAGTTAGTACGACACCTTACCACTCGTCATCTTAGATATCAGAACGAGTTTAAAGGCAGCTATTAAATGTTCCGCTGCTGAATTAGTATACGGCCGGACATTGCGTCTGCCTGGGGAATTTTTCACACCACAAAGAAGTGATAGCTTCAATAAATGAGACTACGTCCAACGATTGTCTGAATTCATGCCAGCACTGCCCCCAGTGTCAATTCGAAAACCGCATCTACAGGTCGCTCTCGCTCGAGAGTTATCTACCTGTTCACATGTTTTCATACGCGTCGAATCGGTAGGCAAACCTCAGCAAAAGCCTTATGAAAGACCTTTTCACGTGATTTCTCGTCATGTGAAGACCTTCAAGGCTGCTCGAATGGCCGAGATCGTCGCAATGATCGTCTCAAGCCAGCACACGTGAATGACAATGCCCTACTTGCTAATCCCAGACCCAATGCTAGACCTATCAAACCTTCTAGAGGGATCCTTAAAGCTACTTCGGATCCCACGCTAGACAAGTCAGAGACCTAATTCTCACGTCCCAGTCAACAGTATGCGTCATCTGCATTATCTACTGATGATAATCCGGTTTCACATCTAGATCTGCAGACCGCGCCGCGACGTACGCACGAGACTACGGTGTCGCGTTCCGATCGCCGCGTACGCCTACCTGTACGTTTCCGCGAATAACCATCCAGGCAACAACGGACACGTGATAGTACATAACCCTTGTTTCTGGCACCCTCCCTCAATCTGGTTCCGTCATGCATCTCGGCTTTTTCTATTACGAACTGCTACAAACGCAATCTTCGGACTCTGGATTCGAGCCACGCTGGTGTGGCATACCAACCCGAGTACTAAACTTTGCACGTCACTATTGGTACAGTTCAACGCAAAATACTTTCGATGACCACTCGAGCTTCACTGGTCGCTTCCTGTCGGTCAACCCTTCCGCCCTACAACCGCCCACTTCCTCCGCACGAAACCGCTTTGTATCGAATTTGTAAACCCTTTCTAGGGGGAGAATGTTAATGGGGTGGTATCCTTTTACGAGGATAACACAATCGCTGAAACGTAAACACATTATTGTACTTAATTCTGACAATAATTGTTATATTGTACTCCTTTTGTTTGTCTGTACTAAAAACTATCTCTTGTGCAACAAGCCTGTCTTTCCCATTACGCTCCTCTCCTCGCTTGTTGTTAGCCGCTCCTGTACTCTAGTCTCGATATTATTTCGATATCACGAACCTAGCGATAAATATACTTCTTCATCTAGAATAATCTTTTCTTTGACTTCTGGATTATCGGGCTTTACCTTAGTAATCCCGCGAAGAAATATGTTTATTTTAACTCCATAAACAGCACGAGTTCGATATCATTGTGAAATATTTCATTCGATTTAATCACTCTTTTGAAGATTTTTCTTGGTATTGAGAGAAGGCTGATGCCTCGATAATTCTCTCATTTGCTTAGAAATCATTCTTCGCTTCTTTGATGGGTTGTTCTTCTTTAGGCGCGCTGGTACTTATTCTTCCTCCCATATCTTGTCGAACAGAGAGTTACGGTCACGATTTAACAAAGCCCTCTCCAACCTTCGAAGATAAAGACAAGAAGGGTCCACGGATATGTCGGCCTATAGCACCACTCTTGGCTCTACAGAAAGTGTTAGAAAGTTTAAGGACTGATCGAATAAGGAAGTCAATAAAAATCCGCCGATTATATCCAACAGTGTTGAAAGATGTAACGCTTTGCAACAAATCAAACTCCAGTGGATCACTGCCTCGGTGGTTACTAACCATGAAAGACACTATTTTCACTACCGTCACTATTTTCATTACTAACACAACTCGGCTTTTGTTAAAAATCCACTCTCTCTACTCACCTCAGTCATCGTCACTTCTCTCCTTGAGTTTTCATAAGACTTGACTCTCCTTACTGTCTGTGTACAGTATTTATTTCAACCTGCTTTCCATGCATCTAGGTAGCTTTAAGACCTGAAGTGAATCATGTGAAAGACGGAAAACTCACCAGAATATCTGGGAAGAGTGAAAATAAATCAATCCGTTTATGTCTACTCGTCACAAAGATGTTGAATGTGTGATGAATTGGTATCGTAGTACAACTTTGGCGCTACGCCTATTCATAATCTTGTTTCAGGGTTAGCTATTGAGAATGACAAGATTGTCTCGTAACAGTATTAAATTATCTCTTTGTTTTCTTAGTTAATCTTTAATTTGTGTTTATTTTTAAAAGTTCTCTGTGAAGAACAAGAATCGGGCGCAAATAAATCAATTGGTTTATACTTGCTCGTGAAAAGCTGTAGGTTATTAGTAATAGTCCTCTGATCATTGGCATGTGTATAAGCACACATATATCTAAGATCTTTGGCTAAAATTAAGATTCATCGTCAAAAAAGTCGGTCGAGTAGTGCTAGATCGTCCCAGAGTTATTAAGTATTAGTACTCAAAAATGGTTATGATGTAGATGTCTCTGAAGCCGTCAAAGCCGCCTGTAAACAGTCGATAGAGTTATACGTCTGTTCCGTAAACCAAGGAATAGACATCTAGCTCAACTATCACCCAGTTAGTACCAATAGTACTTTATCTCATCTCGTTAGGAGGACTTTTTGTTCTGCCATCTAATCTTATAGTAATGGAATAGCAGCCGTGGAGCAGGTTTAACTAGTGTTTTCGTCGCAAGAGGTCTGATTACAGCAGAAGGTAAAATAGTCCGATTGGATTTTGGTTGCAGGTTTAATCAAAGCCTTCTACAACGTCTGATATGGATCTTGGAGCAATCCTAAAATGTTTTTGTCAGTTGTATGCCCAACCGCTGACTACCACTACAGGTGATGCTGTATGGTGTAGGAATATATTGAAAGACAGCTAGGGACGGCCAATCCACAACATAAAATCAGTTCATGAAGCCATTTACAATTGAACTGGGCCATGTTAGTAGATATAGGACACTTGGTTTTTACTTCTTTATTTCACTGATTTATAATTTCTTTAATCATATTTGACCATTAATGCTGCTACTACCCTGTGATTTGGTCGGACAATTTCATCTTTCTACTATTGTGGTATGGCAACTTGAACTTATGTAAGTGCGTACCAGGTTCTACTTTGCCAGTGGCTGACTGACTGTAGAGCTGTGTATCAGATTAATGACTTTCACAGTGATATACAAGCAAGTTGTGCCTCATCATCGAAATTCGTGCGTTTCTGTTTGGGGGTCCATACAAAATCGGATTCAAGAAAAGTCTGAATGCAGTAGTTAAGTGAACAAAGTAATTCCTGCAAGAATGCAATATTGTCAATTGACCACCAGAAGCGTAAGAAACCGAAGTTCTAGAAACAGATTTGTCTGAGTTATATATAAAGTTTACGGTGCACACATTTAGTAGCTTATTCCAGCGTATTCACAGCCATTTAAAGTATGCTTTTTGTATACCGGTTAATGCATTATCCCCATGTACCTTCTTAGATTTAATCAGACTCCATTAGGGTACAAACATCATTTCATGGGACAATATCAAACAAAATTCTGTCAATTGTTTGAAGTTCTCGTCTCAAAGCACAGTATTCGCATTGTTTTTGAAGTCTTTAGCTTGCAAATCTCACAAATGCTTCCTTTTCGTTTTTACAGGTATCACATGAAGTCTCGTAAGGTGCGATGCCTAAGACAAACCACAGAACTTGGTGCCTCTTCAGATTCTGATGAAAATCATCCTGAAGACTCTACTCCACCAGTCGTTGCAGATTCAACAGTAGTTGTGGAAGCCATAAGAGAATTTCAGAAACTAAGGAAAAGACCAGCCGGAATAAGCTTGTCTGCACTAGCTACCGGTAAAGAAGTTCCAGATCTTAATCTAACAATCGCTAACGATCCATTTAAACTTAAGACTGGTGGTTTAGTTGACTTGAATAGTATTTCATCTGCCAAGCAGACTGAAGAGGATGATGACGTTGAAGCCCATCTAGCCAAAACATTCGCCACAGAAACTAATAAAAGGGATGAAGATGCCGAAATGTAATCTTTTTCTTGGTTTGTAATGTCTAATTTCAGGATCAAGTACATTGAAGAAGAATTAGCCAAACGAAAAGGACTAGTTAAACCTTCTTCTTTGGAGCGGTATGTTTTGGTACATTCTAGACCAACTATGTTTCTGCTATATTTGTTTTCAGTCGACATAGGAAATATCCCTTTTTAAGTGTTCTTTATTTGTAAAAATAATTTGAAATGAAGTTTACGAGCATTTTTTCACTGCTAAGACTAAATGCAGAACTTCGTACGTAAGTACATCAGTTCAGGTTGCCATACTACAACACAGAGACGCAACTGTCAGTTCAAATCCAAGAGTGATAGCGATAGTAGAAGTATTAGCATTAATGGAGAAGAGTAGGGACCTTGCTTTATATGAAGTGTTTGTTTACGATATGACCATACAAGAGACAAGTCGTTTTTCATCATGACTCGATCACTACTCAGGTAGTTCAAATGTTACTGGGTAACCATTCGGAAAGTACTTCCGTATTGCTTAAACCCTTACAGTAACATCGCACTATCTAAATGATGATCTATAGCACACCATCTTATATCAATAATGATTGACAGTATATACATTAGTGTCAGGCTGTATACTATTCATTGGCCAAATACTATAAAACACTATAATTAAGGTTGGTGGTATTGAAAGATATGGTCCAAAATGGATCTTGAATTTATTACGTATATCGTGCTATTTCTCAATTCTCAGTTTTTTCTGGAGATTCTGGCTTATTTTTCAATTCACTTATCTTCATTCAACGTTGTATAAACCTAATATCCTCTACTACCTATTTGGGTTACGGCAGTCATGTTTTCAGTAGCTGTTACAGTGTGTGCTCGATATTTAGTCTAGTGCACAAATATACTCAGTTAAAACGTAGAACTTCGTGTGTACGTACTTCAATTCAAGTTGCCATACCACGTTAGTACAGAGATATAATTGTCAATTCAAAGCCGATAGTAGTAGAGGTAGTAAAAGTATTAGAAGTAATCGGAGAGATTAGGGTTCGAAGATGTTATTCAAGAAGTATAATTCAGTGAGATAAATTTAGAAAGAGAAAGATAGAGGCGATGAGGAATTCAGAAAATTAGAATTTCATAGAACACAAAGAGTGGATTCAACTGCTCCATTGCAAACGATTTCCAGCCATATCATTCAAGGTCTGTAACCATCGGCTACTACTGTCTCGTGGACCCCATCGCTCGTCAAGGTAATCGGTGGTCGGGCATACGTACTACATGTCCCAATCCAGTCTAAGTGAGTAAGTTAAGGTGCACAAACTTAAAACGGTTTTGAAACTAGATAATACGTGAACTATCACACAGTATATGGTTAGTTTCCATCACATTATTAAATTATTAACTAGATTATTAATCCTTTTAGTGTAGTTGAAATCTAACACCTGCAATTGAAATTAGTTTTATACAATGATGTTTTAAATAATTAAATGCATTAATTTTCATTATTTTAATTAATCTGTAAACCTTGCATGTTTTATTTAGAGATGAGGATTCAGACCTACTTCAGGATGTCCCTGAGTATCTCAAGCCTTCAATTGGTCAACAAAAAGAGGACATGTTATCCAACCAGATGTTATGTGGTATCCCTGAAGTCGATTTGGGTGTTGAAGCAAAAATGAAAAACATTGAAGCCACAGAAGAAGCCAAGCAGATACTTTTTAGAAAAAGATTCAGCCGCAAACATGGTCATTCAACTGATCAAATAGCACCGACCAGCATGGCAGTCAACTTTGTTCAGCATAGTCGGTGGAGTGAGTTAATGTTTGTTATCTATTCACATACGTATTCTCTATTTATTTGTTCATATCTCATAGAACAGAAAATGTATAATGCAGCAATACATTCCATATTACCATCAGCTATACAGTAGTCAATCTGATTGTGATTGCCATTTTATCTTTATGCATCGTTTAACTTGTTAATGCTGCAATCGTATACATCGAATGTATATACTGAAAAGCATAAGTTAGGCGACTAGAAGCTCAGTTTTCACCGTTGTCAGTCAGTTTTAACGTAGAACTTCGTATTTACGTACATCAGTTCGAGTTTCCATACTACATTCGCACAGAGACACAGTTGTCAGTTCAAATCCCATAGTGATAGAGATAGTATAAGTATAAGTGATAAAGGAGAACATTAAGGTTCGAAGATATTATTCAAAAAGTATAATTCAGTGAGGTAAATTGGAAAAGAGAGACGCGATGAGGAACTCAGAAAATTAGAATTTTATAGAACACAAAGAGTGGATGCACCTGCATCATTGTAAACAGTTTTGAGCCATGAAATTCAAAGTCTCTAACCGTCGGTTACTATCTTCTCGCTGACCCCAACCAGGTAGTCTGCTTCTATCAACATGACTCAGTCCACTTGTTAGTGGTTTCATGTATTTGTGCCATGTTTTGGTTTGGCCGCCCCTAGCTTTCTTCCAACCTACTCCTACACCACAAAATAAAGATCGTCGAGACAGTCGGTGGTTGAGCATTCGTGACACATGTCCTAAGCACCTCATCTGATGAAGTTTGACTACTTCATCTTTCGGTCTGCCATCACTGCTTAGTACTGCTGCACAGTACACTCGTCCTTTAGTCAGCGAATACCATAAGTGACGCAAGTTGGCAAAAGCCAATCGAGCCTTCTGTATCTGTGCTGAGATTTCGTCACACATCAGGCCATCAGTACTGGTGAGACTCCTGAGATAAGTGAAGCGGTCAACACGCCCAACCGCTTCACTTCTTATCACTAGTTCAACTGCCGACGCAAGCTTATCCCGAAGCAAAATTTTGCATTCCGAGGGGAAAACCGCAACCCGAACATGCTTACATTGTTGCTTGAGGCAGTCAGAAGACTCTGCATTTTGTCAGCGTATTCACCAAGTTGGACTATGTCATCGTCATACTCTAAGTCAGCAAGTGAGTCTCCTGGTAGAAGGTCCACTGCTGAAAAGTCAGATGATAAAAGTGTCATATGTAAAAGCATGTCTGTGACCAAGTTAAGCAAGAGTGGAAAAAGTGGTCATCCCTGTCGGACACCAACTTGAAGTAATCCATTCCGATGACAGTTCTCTATAAGCTCTAACTCGACCAGTATTGTTCGAGTAATGAGCTTGTATACGGTTATGTACTTCTTCGGTACACCTTTCATTGACAGGCACTATCACAGAACATCACGGTGTACAAAGTCAGATGCTGCTTTAAGGTCGGGAAATACTGCTATCGTGGGGCGTTGGAACGAGTGTCTGTGTTGTAGGACCTGACGAAGAGTGAATATGTGGTCTATACGTCCACGTCCAGGTGCGAAACCAGCCTGATTTTCTCTAGTCAGTCGTTGAAGTATTATTGAGGCCAATATTTTAGATACCGTAATAGGTAAACTGATTCCTCTGCGACTGTCACAAGCGGACTTTTGTCCTTTTTTGTAGACTGGGACAATCAGTGATTGAGACCAGTTAGATGGGATTACGTCCAGCTCCTAGATTCTACCTGAGACCTCAGTCAATCTAACTGCTAAAACTGGACCACCGTCTTTAAAAATTCCAGGTGTGAGCCTGTCAGGCCAAGCAGCTCACCCTCGCTTTAGATTTCCTATAGCTTTCTCTACTTTGGAGGACTTACATCATTTCGCCGTTCAGGCTGACAGATCGTGAGCAACCAGTGTGGCTAAGGGCCAGTTGAATCGATCCCTAAAGTGCTTCGCCCGTCGATCCAATCTCCTGGGTTGAAAGCGAATGCTACAACCGTCGTTTTTCAAGACAGTTTCACTAACAGTCGGATCCCCCTTGATATTGGAGGAACCGGTGTCCACCGTTACCGGTCGCCGCTGCCTTTTCCACCGCTCCTGCTTTCGCTACCCACCTCTGTTCGCGATCATTGCCTAGGCTTCTTATCACCCTGCGCCCTCCATCATGTTCAGAGCCTGGTGGGATGAGTTTACGAGCGTCTATCAGTTCGCTGGATACTGCCGAGATCCACGGCTTCTTCCTACCCTTATGGTTTACCTTAATAGCATTTAGGACGGCTTTTTCCACAGCATTTTTGATATCATTCCAAGCTCCCTCTTGATGGGAATCACTTACATGGTCGCCTAACTGACTTTCTAGTTGCTCCTAAAATATATTCTTATCGTTTTTATCATTAAGTAGGACCCTATGAGGTTTCGTTGTGGTGTCTTTCCTACGTCCGGTAAGCCGCAAACAGATACACGCTTGCACTAGAGCATGATCTGAATCTTAACATATGCCCTAGAACAAGCGACAGTCCTTTATCGAACCCTTTTATTGGTGGCAGATAGCGATTTAATCTAGTTGGGTCGATTGTTCGAACGGCTTTGTGGGTCGCCAGGTCAAAAGATGTTTCTCCTTATGCTTAAAGTTAATATTTGCTAGTGATAGGCGGTTATCTGAACATAGCTGCAGCAGACGGCCGCCATTATCTGTTCTATTAGCTGTGACACCATAAGATCCACACAGGTGTCGTCCCTTTTCACTTAGTCTACCTACTTGAACATTAACGTCACAAGCCATTATTACTATATCAGAGCACCCAACGATTTGGAGTTCTGAAAGTTATTTGTAAAACTCATCTTTTACCTCTGAACTTCAGTCAGTAATGAAGAGGCAACAGCGAGTGTCCCTATCTTTCCGATTTCCTACCGTCCCGTTTAGTTGGACAGCCCATAAACGATTGTCTACTGGGATCCAGTCTAGGAGAGCTAGTTCTGCCCTACGGCTCAATGCTATACCTACACCAACGAGGTCACAAAAAGCAGCAGCAGGGCTTCAAGATACACGAAGAGTAAACCGAGTTCGTTCTCTATCTGGACGTGGTGAAGTCAAATTAATCACTGTACTTGAATCCTGTATGTGCGTTTCGGAGACGCAGCATACATCGATGGCATAGGATTCCAGAGTCATAGCTAAGGAAGCCTGATACCCTATTTGACACAAGGGCTCGAACATTAAGAGCGAGATTTCAGGAGACCAGGAATAATGTTCCGTGAACTCAAATGGATTGCATTAGCGGTGTGGCGTGATTAAGGATTGTGAGAAGGGTTGGTCGTTGGGGTAAGAGAGATGTTAGGAGGTGTACGAAGAATTGAATTGTGACTTATTTGGTCTCTTCTTCTGTTACGGGCGAATCTTACTTCCCGGCTGCCCACATCATATTGGGGCGATTCTCGAGGAACCCGAAAAAGAAGTTGAATTAGCGTTGGTCTAAGAAACATGGGAACGTGACTGCAGAGCCCGAGCGACAACTGCTTGACATCGGATGTGCACGACCTTTTTACGAAAGATTTTTAAATTGTTAGCTCCGCTCTTGTTTGAAAGGCCCTACCGCTGGAGACCGAAATCCGTCAGATAAGGTGAGGTGTAACATTTTTAGGGTCGACCTTTTCTAACCCCTTCCTACCTTGTAAGAAGGCAGTATCGCTTCAGATGCTTTCGAGGAGGAAATACCTTACTACTGCCACACCCCTCTACTGTCAGCAGTACCATTTCGCCTCCAGACCTTAAGTTGTTGCTTTTAGTCCCACCGTTCTCCAATCGACCTGCCTAGCACGGTAGAACCTACAGGAATATGTGGTTCAGCCAACATAGCTCGGTTGGGTCATCACAATAGGCAAGCCCGACCACAACTTCAAGGTAGCAGCTACGGTCGGGTTTTCATCGTTGTATAGCTAACAAAGGGAAAAAGGAAAGTGTATTTTTTACCAATGTTATGAAGTATTTATTTGTTATGGTGACAAAGTAGGTGAAATATTATTTCTGTGAAAACTTCCAGTCATATCACTAAGTTATATCTATTTCGTAAGCCAAAGCTCGGAGGCGTTTTTTAATATTTTGAGTTTCCATCAATAGAGAAATGACTGTTGTATTCACCTAAAACTAATCTCTTGGAGTAATCTACATGGTGCTTTACTTAAATCCTGAAATTGCCTTACGTTTGGTTCCTTGAACGGTGGCTAGGTAGTCAAAGCGTTCGACTTTAACCCCCTAACTTTGAATCACGTTTCACTTTCGGCTTAAGCAACTAAGTAATATCATTAGCCCTCAAATTCAAAATAGGACTCATAACCAGATACCTGCCAAGTGAATTAATTAAAAATCTAAACACATTCGATTGCTTTAATGTAAACAGGTAGTTTAATATTTCTGACAAAAATATAGTCATTTGTTCGAGTTCTTTATTTTATTGAAAGGTGAGTCAAACGATTTGGCTTAGTCATCAGATTATTTAACCTAATCATCTAGACATTGTATTGAGTTTATTTCTGCTATTCTAATGTGCTCAAGTGGGTGATATCGACAACTTTTACAATATGAACTAGGCTCATAGTTCATCATTCAAACTTGGTGATTTTATTTATATATAATCAGAACAATTATATAAAAATAGATGGTGTTAAAATTTATGTAATGAATTCGTGCCTTAAAGCAATTTCAGTAGTCAGGTTTATTGCCTGTGTACGTGAAACCATCTCAATCAATCTAAAATCACAATCAGACTCCATTTGTTAATGTTTAGAATGTGTAGATTTTTAAAAATCGATGTTGAGCATTATCAAAAGAATTGATTGTAACTTTCATTCTTATAGTTTTAAATATACAGATGATATAGTAATTCCTTATTGATCACGAAGTGTTTGTTACAATCCTCATTGAATTTTATAATTTTTATGTTAGCGATTACATTTATCGATGGAACAATTTATATAATTGTTCAAGCTACTGCAAATACATTATTCCATATTAATATTGTAAAATATGAACCAACACATTTTTCACATTTCTATTTCTATTATGTTCATTTAAAAAAATATAGATAGTTACACAAACGGAATCAGTAGAAGAGCTGATTTGAACAATGAACGGGAACTCAATCACATAGCTAGTAGTAACAATGATGCCAATAAACTAGAAACAACGAAAAGTGATGTCATCTCTCCCCAAGCGGAAGGTCGTCGTTTAGATAGTAAGTCTGTTGAAATCTATCATTCCTTTTTTAATATTCAAAATTGATATAGACTTTACGAAATTTCCCAATTTAGTAAAATTTTGAATGATCCTAATTTAGTTCAATGTTGTAGATTGCTTTTATCAAAAATTAATCACAGTAGAGGTATTATTAAAAATTAAGAAGCACTGGACAGTTGTTTCATTTCCTTGTATGAGACTTCTAAACAGTGCGTATTCTTGAGTCCATCAGGTATCAGAGCCAAAACCTTCAGGTCTCGTAGCGAAAACCTAACCATTCAAACCACTGAGTTGCCATCCAATTGTATAATTTGAACTATCCTGCTTTTGACATCGCTTTGGAATTTCAATCAAATTAAGCAAATTTGGTTTTTAACGGCTTTCCGTTGATCAGGCCAAGTTAAAGTTAACCACCACTGAATATAGTGTCCATCCTATAACTTTATTCCGGTCCAACACTTTTTCAAATGCAAAAGCATATTGAAATACACAAAATTATGTCTTCATCCAAAACATTTTCATGAATTCTTTAATTGATAAATGTCATTACCATTCATAATCAAGATTTTAATACTTTTCCATGTTTATCCATATTTTTGTTTTTCAGACAACCGATCACGTATTCATAATGAAAAATCTACAGATAATATTGCACTTCAACGGTTTAAAAATTATATGCGCGATAAAAGACGTCGTTGATAATTTTATTTCTTCCTATTTATTTTTTATCTCGACAGGACAATGTTTTACTTCTTTTAATGGTATTATGTCCTAAGTCAGTCAGTTTAGGCCAGGCATATTGTATAACACATGTGTACATTGTAAATATGATTTATTGCTATTATTACGACTGCTACTATTGTTTTTGTTGAATATCTGTTTTCTAAAGTGAAAAGTGACTGGTTTTTTACAGTATCAATCACTTTGATAAACCTACATGTTTGATACCACTAGCACTACCGAAGCCCTCCAATAAATCATCGTAAGAGAAATAGTTTGCACCATATCCTGTACAAGTGTTTGGTTAAATAAGGCCACTTCTGAAGCTAATATCTGTTTGAAAATGTTTATAGATACGGATGAACTTAAATAAAGTCTTACTGCTATATTAACTGTGAACTATCTGTCATGTGTACTGTAACGTCAATACCAATTAGTTACAAGCAAGTAAAGAACGATTTCTTCCCGTATAGTTAGTGTTCTAAACATCATAAGTTGATTTATATGTCAACATTTAATCAACACTACTTGTTAACAATAAGATCACTGACAACAATTTCCCGAAGGTTTACTTATCAAAAAGGATAAGATCAATAATTTTTGAGTCAATTATAAATAACACCTCATCAGGAATAGTAATCATAATAATTATTATTATTATTATCAACAACCTCGGTGCAAACATGGTTTTCCTGCAAAACAGCATGGTTCGTTCATGTTTATATACGAACCATTATAGGTATGATCTTGACTGAAGGGATTTCAGAGTAGACATTAGAGAATGTAAAAAATTGATATTCTGATCGGAACCGATCGATATACGTTATAAGATAGATCCAGTCAATCTATGCATTAAAAGAATAGGTCACGAACAAGCAATCGGCGATTCTACTGCGTTATGGACCCATGGTCAGCTGTGGCCTATTAAAACACACTCTCGTCCTACAGCTCTTCTGTTAATTTAATCTCAATATTCAAAACTTCTTAACATCATATGAGTGATTGTACGTATTTAGAGAATTGTGGAGGTATTTGAATATTATCGAATTCACGAAGCGACCTTAACTAGACAACCATATGTGTTTTCATCAAACGAACTAAAGTATTAATAGGTTGGGATAATTGGATGTTCTTGGTGCATGAATTTTCTGATTTGTCAATATGAAGGAAATAATAATAACGCTGTATATTTCCTTTCATAATCTTAACCAAATTTGAGGGCATCTTAAAAATTTACTGTAACATTTACAGATATCCCAATTATTCATTATCAATCAATATGAAATTTCGTTGTCATTTGAACATATACTATAATTCTTTCATAGCCAATAGAAATGTCTACTCTTTCCAGTTATATGAAGATTGCATATATGTTTCCTTTGAGTGAGTAGCTTTTACATAGATGGGAAGTGATAAGCTTTTAGACCAATACTAGTTTTCTGCTTTTTAGTTATTTTTCGAAAGTATTTTGATAGCATGGAGTTGACGACACTATGGAGGCTTCTTCGATACTATAGCATGCCTGGAAAATAGTCAATATCACACAGAATTCTCACTACACCACAAAATCGTGCATGGATGACAGTTCACTAACTCATTCCACGTGAAGACCGGTGTTAAACAAGGTTGCTTACTCTCACTCTTTCTTCTGGTGGTCTGACGGATTATGAAGATGTCAGCACCTGAGGATATATATATATATATATATATATATATATATATATATATATACAGTTAGATGAGTGGGACAAGTTAAGAGTACATTTATTACTAAGTTAGTTTATTGAATCAAGTTCAATAAAATATTACAAATAACTCTATTCATTTATATACTTGTCTGTTGATAACGACTGGTGGGAAGATTTTAGCATTATGTAAATTTCGATCGCCATACTCTGTACTTCTAGATGAGTGCATTTGTATTTCATGTATTATTATTATTATTTAGCAAAATAAAGGTAACTCAGTGAGAATTTTAATTTTAGATGATGTTATTAATTAAGTTTATACAATTATATTACTAATTATTTTATATTTAGTGGTTTGTAAATAAATGAGAGATGTTGAGTCATTACTAAAGTTATCAAAATTTTTCAAGTATCGAATACAATGTCGTACAATTAGTTCGCTTGATCAATTATAAATTGAACATTTACGTCAGCATATAAAGAATTTATGATTATTCCTAAATAGTAAACTAAATAACGAAATTACATTTGTAAAACATTTGATTTTTACAAATCAATACGTAAAATCAAGAACACATGAAAATGAACAAGTTCATTTCATTCTACAATGTTTGATTATTGTGGAATATAGGTTATATAATTATCGTAAAGGTAAATAGGAGCCGTAAGGTGAGGTTAATTTGTCAAGGATGTATCAAAAAAACTTCACTTGATGACTAGGCCGTTAAACGGAAATAACAACCTTAAGAAATTAGAAAATGTTACTAGACTTGAGTTAAATAACGGAATACATAAGTTATTTTAATACAGAGATCAGGCCTTAATTAATTTTCATTCTCTTTGAATTATGTTTTGACATTTTAGAAAATATTGATTAACAATTTAGGCGACACAACCTGACTAGAGTTAACGAGATGTTAATGAAGGTAAGCGTTGCTTTATATTCACTCAGAGGCAGTATCCTAAGACAAATATTGTCTCTGTTAGAAGAGTATTTATTTTAGGGAAGAAATGGTTATGAATATCATTCTGATTTACAGAGACATTGTTGTTTGTTTTTGAATTCAAAATATCTATTGGGGAGCTCCGAAATATCCCTCAGAAAGCCTAGGAACTCCAGGAAATGTTTCATTCAGTCAGCACTGAATAGAACCTTGAAGAAAACATCTCCAAAGTGCGAAAGAACGTTCTACGTCTAATATATTTAGTATGGTTTTCGAACCTTCTAGATGCTTGAAGCCATGAGTAACTCTCTAAATACCCTCATTTTTCTAAACATAACCTAATTTTGAAGTAAAGCGTTCATCTTGTGTTTCGCGCCTTTTCTCTTGTGTTCAAGTCTCAGTGCAGATTTCGTCTAGGGTTGTAAGAAGTGTCCAGGAATTCATATCTTGCATTCGTTCAACAGTATTATCAAAACCATAAGAATCAAAAATGCTTACTGATAATAATAGACATAATGATATGTTTAAAAAATCTTAATGAGTAGGAAACTGATGCAGCTGGACTTCGCAGATAATCTAGCTTTTCTGTCCCACACGCAAGAACAAATACAAAAGACGGGCAGTGTAGCTGCAGCAGTAGGTCTGAACATGCATCAACCAATTCACACTTGATAGAGAAGCCCTGAAAGAGTTGGAAACCTTTACATATCTGAGCAGCACCATTGATAAACTAGGTGGGCCTGATGCAGATGTGAAAGCGCGTGTCGAGAAGGCAAAGTCAGTATCATTATAACTGAAGAATATCTCGAACTTAAGACTCAAGAAACAATTCATGCTGTTGCAAAAATAATAGGAAACAACATGAAGGTAACTGGAATAAGCGAAACCCAGCAGGAAAAAAAGAATAGCTCCAGGAAAATTGCTGTTGTACTCCAACCATGCAAAATAAAACAACTCACACACAAGGGATTGCATTGATACCATCCAAAGAAGCACAAAATGCGTCCATACAATAGGAATCTTGACCCAGGATCATCAAAGCATCCTTGGAAACAAGAGGTTATTACAATTAATGCCATTCAGTGCTATGCACCCACCAATGATTACGAGGAAAATAATAAAGGTCAATCCCATGTGATTTTCAAGTCAGTCTTTGAGAAATTCCCAACAAAGGACTCAACCGTTTTGACGGAAGACTCAAATACCAAGATTGGAAAGGATAACACTGGATACGAAGACATCATGGGACGACATGGATTGGGAGAAAGGAGCGGAAACGGTGAGATATTCTCATATCTATATGCCTTTATCGAACTGATTATAGACTGAACCACATTCTCGTACAAGTGCGCACGCAACGTTACATTAGTTTCACCAAATCACACTACACAACCAAATCGATCACATCTTCATCGATAAAAAAACCAGAAGGATCGTGGAGGACTTAAGAGAGGAGTTGATATTACTTCAGATCATCACTTAGTAGTGGTCAAGGTGAAGTTGAAACTGAAGAAGCACTGGATGCCAATTGGACAGCATCAAAAAATTTAATACGGTCTTTCTTCGAGATACTGGCAAACTCAACAATTTCAAGATAACTCTCAGCCACAAGTTCTAAGCATTTCGCGATCTACTCGACGGAGAGGAAACTATCATGGAAATTAGCTGGAAAGGGATCAAAGAGGCAATGACTTCAGTGTGTCGTGAAGTTTTGTTGGGTACGTTACATCCCCAGAACTCACTTGAAAATGGTCTTAATTTTGGATTTTTGTGTTTTTGCGTATGGGCCGCTCCGTTGAACTTGACTGTCATTGGTTGATGTAGTATTTTAGTACTCCATTTTCGTGGCTCTCCTAAGGACATTTCTATCATGTACAAACAAACTCGATTTGTGTGCTTGTAAACCCCATATATTCTGGGTGCTTGTAGAATACACTTTCTACGCCTTATCAAGACTTCTTGATATAGTTAGCAGGGCCTGGAACAACGGATTAGAATAGCCTGTCTTGTCACTGCATCATTTGTCTTCGTTCTCGTTTACTGGGTAAGGTAATAGTTTCAAACATATCAGGTTTTAGATCACAAAAAGCACCATCACAGGGATTGGATTTCTATGGATTCTCTGGATAAGATTCAATTAAGGTAGAACAGGAAGTCAGGAATCAATAGCAGCCGAACAAAAGAAGAGAAAAATAAAGCACAGATCGGTTGTACAGAAGCAAACAACCAAGCAATCAGGAGCAGTATATCTAATACTTGAAAATACGTGGAAAACATAGCTATCACAGCGGAAAAAGCTACAAGAGAAAGAAACCTGAGATAACTGTACAATGAAACGAAGAAGCTTGCTAGAAAATATCGTAAACCAGAACAACCAGTGAAAGGCAAGTTAATAACCGATACTGAAGAACTGCAAAACATAAGGATAAACCGGTCTAAAGAACTCTTGAACGAACTAGCCTCACCGGACCCACCCAATATCGAAGAGATCAGAATGGCCGTCAGAAAAATGAAGAGTGACAAAGCATCAGGGCCAGACAACATTACAGCTGAAAGCTGTCATAACAGTAACTTCAAAGATTCTCTACGCTCTGTTCAAAAAGATTTCGGAGCAAGAACATGTACCAACAGACTGGAAAGAAAAGCACCTCTTCAAGATATCAAAGAAAGACCTCAGCAATTGTGAGAACTACAGAGGCATCACTCTTCTCTCAATACCAGGAAAAGTCTTCAACAGAGTGTTGTTAAGCCGAATGAAATATTCAGTAGACGCCCAACTTCAGGATCTGCTGGTTGGATTCCACAAGGATAAATCATGTACCAACCAAACGGTAACGTTACGGATCATTGTGAAGCAATCTGTTTAATGGAAGTCACCGCCGTACATTGACTTCATTGATGACGAGAAAGCGTTTGACAGCGTAGACAAAATGATACTATGTTTTGTCGGAGAACATTATATTGAATTCTCATGATGGATTAAACTATAAGATCTTGCATAAAGGACTTCTCTCAGACTCGTTTCAAATGAACACCACTGTCATACTAGGTTGCTTACTACCACCTATTATCTTTATTCTGGTGATGGAGAATCTTTGAAAGATGTGGAAGGCTTTACATACATGGGCAGAATGATTGACAGACAAGGTGAATCAAGCACAGATGTAAGGAGACGGATTGGTAAAGCAGGGACAGTATTTCTTCCACTGAAGAACATTTGGATCCCAAAACAACCAACTTGGAAGTCAGAGTTTTCAATACGAACATCAAAACCATTATATTTTATGGAGGAGAAACTCAGAGAACTACGAAAGCCAACATCCACAAAATACAGCTGTTTATTGACAGTTGTCTACGCAAGATATTGAGGATCTGTTGGCTAGACACCATCAGCAGCAACCTACCGTGGGAAAGAAGAGGAAGAAATTCAAAAGAAGCGCCGGAAGTGGGCGGAACACATACTGCGGAAATCACCCAACCGCGTCAAGAGGTAAGCCCTCACCTGAAACCCTCAGAATCAAAGGAATAGAGGAAGACCAAACAGCACACTGCGCCGAGAACTGGAAAGAGACATGTAGAGAATGAATAGTTATTGGATAGAACTGGAAAGGAAGACCTAGAACAGAGTTGTTTGGAGAATGCTGATCCGTGGCCTATACTCCATTAGAGGTAAAAGAAAGCATTTCTCAAGTGACTATGATTTAAAAAAAAAATTAAAATAATCTCAGCAACTTAATTTATTATTAAACGTTAAATATACAACTGAGCTTTTAACATAAAGATATAGTGGTAATTTACATTCTACTAATTCAATAAATTCCCTCTCTTTCTTCAAAAATAAAATAAATTCAAACTAATTTGAAAAGGAAATGTTGAACTTGATGAAAAATAATAATGAATCAATGATCATTAGAGAATATACAATCGTATCATCATTTTATATCATCGATTAAAATCGTTGTACAATTGAAACAAATCCCAAAAAATATCTATTTTTTTTTTCAATTTAAATGTTGATAAAAATAATTGTATTTCTTTATGTTTAATGAATGAATGAAGAAGCATATTCAGTGTTTATCCCTGATTAGTTAGCCGTCTATCTTGCTATCAATAATTGTCTTGTTTTTCTGTTGTCTTTTTTATGTCATCTGTTTCATACACATCTACTAAAAATGTCTAATGATTTGAGAAAGTAAATAGTAAGAGATTTCATGGAATAATTAACCTTTTTCATTGATGAAAGAATGATTGAAATGTGAAAAAAAGTCAAACATTATAGACGAATAACTAGTTATTATTTTTAAAAAAATTCTAATGTTGTTTTTTTTAAAAAAAACTGTTTATTATATTGTAAATAAAACAAATACTCTTGCATTTTTTCGATTTTGTTATATTGAGAGATTTACTAAGTGAATCTGACCTTTTATTTGAAAGAAATAATAACAATTGCACTAGAAACTGATTCTTGATAGTTGCAGTATGATAGAGCTTTGCATTTTCTCTATTGTAAATACAGCTAGACAGAAGAAATACACTTTCTCTTGTGTTGCTTTTTTGATTGCATGAATTTTTAAAGAATTCTTACTAAACTGCATAAAAACTATACATTATCTTGAAATGATTTTTGTATTTTGATAGATGGTAGTTTTCTGGGCAAAGAATGCGTATCTCTTTCAGGTTCATTTCGAGACTGTTCATTAAGCTGTTGAAGTAATTCTTTTGATGTTGGAATTTTCGTAGCTGTAAACTGTGCATTCGTAGGTGCATGAGTCAACTGTACAGATGGCATACGTATAGGAACAGGTGACCGCATAAGTGGTGTAGCTTGAGATGATGTTGTATCAGCAGGCAGTTTAATTTGACTGACACAATCAACAACTCTTTCCAATATCGCTTCAATACGTTCCAATCGACTGTCTATTTGACTGTTACGTAATTGTATACTTTCACTATTCGTTGTTCCATCCGAACTATTTGCATTTTGACTAGTATATGGTCCTCTAAAACTAACTCCTGTACCTAATGTTTGCCGACTATTTTGTAATGCAAAACTTTGTATTAAAATAAATTTCAATACAGCGTCAATTTCTTGTTTATATAATTTACCACGATCATCAGATTCACCCATTAATAATTTAATCCGTCTATTATTTTCTTCTTTAATTTTAATTAATTGATTTTCCCGAGTTAAATTTTTCTTTAAAATACTATTCTCTTCATCAGGTGATTCATTTTCTTGCTCTTCTAAATCATCATTTGATTCAGTTGCGCATTTTTTATTTCTACCAAATGGAAATTTTAAATCTTTACAAAAGCATTGACTTGTGCCAATGTAGAAACAACGAAACAATTCATAAATTATGCATAATGTATTGAATGGTGGTGGTAGTAGTGTTCGTTCACTATATTCTTTCACCATTTTATAACGTCCAGCTAACCAATGTGCTGTTGATTTTTGATCAATTCTAGATACTGTATTACTGAACAATGCAATGAGTAAATTAATTAAGATAATATTGACAATGCCAACATATAGGACTAGAACAAAAAATATCACTGTATTAAATCCTAATTCACTGCCACAATATCGATTATCTTCACAAGTCTCCTCTTCTAAAACAATACTCACTTCAAAGATACTATAGAAAGCACGTCGAAATAATTCACTGAATGATGTAAGCACTCCGAGTCGTTGCATATCACGTTGACGTGATAATTCAGTAATATTCATTAAATGTTTATTTTGACGTTGTCCTTGTGTTTCATAAAAACTATTTGGATAGATTAATCCTTGAAACCATACACCATAAGAGATAATGAATATTGCAAATACAATCAGTAAAGGAATTAAATCTTTGCGTAACATATCAGCCATCATTTTAAGTCGTGGACCAATAATTGGTGAAATTGAAGTAATGTAAAGAGTTCTCATGTAAAAAAGATTTAAACCAAGCATATACAAATTACGAGTCGTGTAAAGTATAACATCATGCGCTTCTTCAAATTCTGATCCATGATTATTTGCCACATTCATTCTTGTACAAAATCCAATGAATGTTAAAGTGATTGCAAATAAATCAATCCAATTCCAACCATCTCTAAAATAATCACTGAATCCATCTCGTGATGCTTCAAGTATCAATTGTCTTAACTCTTCAAATCCATAACCTAAGACATAAGATAGCGAAACTATTTCCATTCGACTACAGGAAAAATGTAGATTATATACACATACTATTGAGAATAACATCAAGAATAATAAATGAAATAAAGAGTGAAGACAAAATTTCATTGAAGGTGACAGATAAACTCCGGTGACAAAATGAAGTCTTGGTGAAGAAGTCCATCCGAACTGATTTGACATACGTTCGTAAATACTGACATGTGGTTTAGGGCCTTGAGATGAATGAACAGAGACAGTATTCAAACTTCTTTGTGCCTTTGTGCGTTTTGATGTTAACGGATTGTTAGGTAGTTGAGGTGAAGATGGGAAAACTTTAGCTATAACATTACCAGTAGCTTTTCCTTCTGTACGACTTATTGAATCACCTAGTAAGTTGGTATTTCCTTTACCTGCCGATGTGACACCAGCAGTTATATTTCTTATTAACTCTGCACGTTTAAGTTCTTTTTTCGTTCTGTACTCAAAATAAAATAACCCGGCAACAGGAAAAAATTTACATGTCCATCTCATCCATGTAGGTAAACAAATTAAAACACCATGCCATCGTTCATCTAGAAGCCTTTGACAACAGGATAAACTTAATACATTGGTACATTTAGCTTTGGCGCATAAATCTATTAATGAAATTCCTCCAAATGTACGCAAAGGTGCATTCAACATTGAGCGGCATATCATTTTTTCTGGAGTATTGTCTTTAAGAAAAACCAAATTGAGTACATCAACAGCGATTGCTTCTAATCGATCAGAAAAAGTGATGAGTTCACCTAACATCTAAAAAATTAATTAAAATACAAATAAATTATGAACAATCCTATAAAATATATGTACGATGAATTAAACTTCACGTTATCATATTTTCTTAAAATGACATTTCATAAGTTCTTTACTTTTTCACTTCTACAACTGTTAAGAATAACGATGACGAAAAAAATGTTTTTTTTAGATATAATTTACTTGCACTATGAAGCACATCTAACTTCGAAAAAAAAGATTTTTAACTGGTCTAAAAATATTTTCCCTGCTCAGTTGGTAAACAAGAATTCTAACTATTATGAGTGTAAACAGGGTATTCATAAACTTCAAATAATGAGCCCATAGAAAGAATTGAACTTATTGACTTCTGTGGTTATCAAATGTTAATTTATACCCGGTTAGTTAACAATATTTCAAGCTTATTGAAGAGATCATGATAAGAGAAAATTTTCTTAGGTATTGTTTCTGATATCTTCTAGATATTGTTTTAAGAAATATCACCTTTATTTTAGGCTTACATACAACGAAAACTCATAAAAATCCGTTTGCTAAGTTTCATTGTTTTAAAGTATCTTCTGTACATAAACTGTTTTATGTAAACTGATCACGTGAAAGTTTAGTTTGATGACAAATTTAGTTCATAAGTCAGTGTAAAGTTCGTAAAATAATTCTATGAGGTCTTTCATAGATATTATCGATCACTAATATAGAAAGATTATCATATTAAGTGACAGGAAACCATGATCAGCTGCCTTCTATTTTTAAAGGTTGATAGTAATCAATATGAAGCATATGCGGGCACATCAGTTTATCTAAAATTCCTGATCAGTAATAATAATAAGCCACAGTTAATCTATCTATATATAAATAAAAAGTATTAAACATGATTTATTTGATTGGAAATTATGTACATTACTTACTTGTTGAGGAAAAGTAGGTTCTTTATGAAGTCGACGAAGAATAAGCGTTACTAAAACAGCTGCTGGTAAAACATCAAATTGTCTCATTCGAATTAATTGTTCAACAACACGAAATCGTCCACAAATAATTGCTAAAAATAATAATGATCTATGCATTGGACGAAGAATCACAATTTTATTGGTACTTAATGATTTGAAAGTGAGTAAACCACTCATCGACTGTAAAATTGTTCGAAAATCATGAGCTTTCAAATTTTCTTGAAATGCACCTTGAACATGTGTAAAAACACCAGTACCATTTTCATAACAATCAGAAAATAATTCAGACATTTGTTTTAAAGTAATTTGTTGTGCAGTTTCAAAATCATCCAATGAAATATGATCTGTAGGCATTGTTATACTATCAGTGATTTTACTAAAATCCATAGGAAGTGTAGACGTAGTAGATTTATTTTGTCGCCAAGCAAGAGAATCTCTTAATGTTTCTAATAATTCCACATTATCATTTAATAAAATCTTACGCCATATACTCATTATATTTGTACTATCGACTTTAACAGTTTTAGTGAAATTTCCCAACTGACCCTTGTTTACATCAGATGTATCCATTTTATCAACTAAACGTCGAATAAATGAATAACCTTTACGAGATTTCTTATGAAAATCAGTATTTAAACCTGGACTTGGTTCTCTTTTGGCACTCATTACAGCATAAGGTTCACAAGCTGTACGTTCTTTTAGTTTTTCCTCTTCAGACAATCGTTTTCTCACTTTCAATGGAACTATATCATCGATTAACATCAGTAGAGCAATTAATTGTTTCTTTGGCAATACATCAACTAACATTTGTGATCTACCAGCAGCATATGCTAAATCTAATGCAGTTTTTCCTTGTGAAGTAGGCAGCATTGGATCAGCTCCATTATCTAAGAGAATTTTTATACAATCATAATAATGATTTACAGCATCTTCACAACTTGCATGATGTAATGGTGTCCAGTGATTCATATCAAGATAGTTTGCAGCTGCAACAGTTTTTATGATACTTGTTTTAAAACTCACTGGAGATTCGTTTACAGTCATAGATAATTTAGATTGAAGTGTATTCTCATTTGGTTTATGATTTACACTGTCTTCACCATCCTCCTCTTCTAAAGAGCAGTCATTGTCTTCATTTAATGCAGATAAAAATTGAGCTGGAATATTAAGTGGATGAAGACGATTAGATAAAACACGTATAAGATAAGATAAAATAACTGGTTGACCAAATACTGCTGCAACATGAATTGGTAGACGCCCATTTTCATCAGCTTCTTGTAATGATGCCGTTCCTTGTTCAACTAAATATCTATAAATCATGAACAAAGAATAACATGAAACCATAATTTTGGTTGTTTTTATTTTACTAAAATTATTATTCCTAATAGTTTTGTAATAAATTATATCAACTAGGTAAAGTTGAAGTTACCAGAAACTAAATTTAATATAACATGAAACTGTTGGATTTATTAAAGAATAAATGGATGATACGTTCTAAAGATATGACTCTGAAGCATGGGAATAGCCTAGAAGAAACCAAGTTAAACATCTTTTCTCAAACACTTAATCAATCTATGTTCAATCATTCTAGTATTTCTGAATTCAACTTTTAAAGGGAGGTAATAATTTTAGGAACAAACCTGTGCTAAGCCTTAACATAAGTTAAACACATGAGAAACCTGATTTCACTGATTCATCAGTCAAACAAATCAATAAAATGTCAAACAGCTTAAATTAATTATTGTCTATCGTTGTCATCAGTACATAAGTATTAAATCTGCAACTACGGAATTTTCAACAAAGAAGTGAAAATTTCAGTTCAAGTTTTATTGGAGAAACAAAAGATTATTGAGATTTTTCTTAGGGATAGTTAGAATTATATCAGCAGATTATCGTCCATACTAGTAGATATGGATAATTTCTCTAAAGAAACCACTAAAATGTTACATACAATCAAACCAAATAAAAGATGAAGACAATCTCGAGACAACCATAAAATAATATTTAGGAACATCAGGTTTGAATCTACCTTGGGGCAGAGCTGCCAAGTTTGGATAGGAAAGATCTACTTAGCTTCATACTGAATATTTATGACTGTCTATACTACTCAGGTGAAAAGAGATTGCTGGGAATCCTGCATCCATGTACAAATGATACCACTAGGCTTTTGTGAATTACCAAACATTCATAAATCTGACCTACTCTTGGGACTGTTAGCTCTTTACCAACACTTCAACATCAGGTTTATCAAAGTAAATCAACAATTTACTGAATGTACCCCGAAATAACCTATCCAACACCACTGACAATTTCTAGACTTGATATTAAAACTTTTGAGTTTCAACTTCAAAGAAGAATGAAACACTGGTAAGCTATTATGTTGGATCTCTACATACTAGTATTCCAGTTGATAGATCCCTAGACTTTACTAATAGTTTACTAACGAAAATGATATTCAGATTAGTCATTATTATGACTAAAAAGTCTAAGCTTAGCTTAGATTCAACTTTATTTCCACTCAAAGAAACATCATATAAACAACCCAATAGAGTGACCATGAGATCTTCTGTGTCCCCGTTTTTCGCTTATTTATACATGTCGCATATAGAATGGTACATTTTCTCCAGTGTCGTTAACTTTCTTATTTGTCTCAGATGCATAGATGACACATCTGTTATTATTAAAAAAACTTTCCTAAGAAACGTTTCTAAACTGGTGAACACTTTCTAATCTAACACGAAAATAAATTTAGTAAATTACCACTTTCGAACTGTTTAATCGAAAGGAATTCTACATTTAAGCATCTACCAAGAGCCATCATATTCAAATCAGTTCATTTATTTCAACTTGGTACCTTCAATGGATGCGAAATTTCGATTGGCACTACTTTGTAAAGGGGTGTTGAACCCGTGACCTTCGGACCTACCCGCCGAAACCCGATGTTTAAACCACATTATAACTTACCAATTTCCCGTATCCAAAAACATATAATCAAAAAAGTTTCACACAGATTCGTCTAGTCCGAAATAACAAGACTTTAACACGATCAGACCTATTTTGATTTTAACTGAACTTAAAGTATCCTAATTTATTTTGTTTGTACTATTTAAACTGGAGTCAGTTTAACTTAGTTATTTATTCCGTGAAGAAACAAACTTATGAAATCAGTTTCCTAGTCATTAGGATTTTTTAAACATATCAGTATGTCTATTATAATCAGTAAGCATTTTTGATTCTTATGATTTTGATAAAACTATTAAATGAATGCAAGATCTAAATTCCTATCCGCTTCTTACAACCCCAGACTAAATCTGCACTGAGACTTGAAAAAGTGTGAAACACAAGATGAAAGCTTTACTTCAAAGTTAGTTTATGTACAGAAAAATGAGGGTATTTAGAGAGTTACTTATGACTTCAAGCCTCTGGAAGGTTCGAGAACCAGACTAAATTTATTAGCCGTAGTACGTTCTTCCGCACTTTCCAGATGCTTTCTACAAGGTTCTATTCAGTTCTGATTGGATGAAACATTTCCTGGAGTTCCTAGGTTTTCTGAGGGATATTTCGGAGCCCCCCAATAGATATTTTTGAATTCAAAAACAAACAACAATGTCTCTGTAAATCAGAATGATATTCATAACCATTTCTTCCCTAAAATAAATACTCTTCCAACAGAGACAATTCTTGTCTTAGGTATACTGTTTCTGAGTGAATATCAAGCAACGCTTGCCTTCATTAACATCTCGTAAATTCTAGTCTGGTTGTGTAACCTGAATTATTAATTAAGATTTTCCAAAATGGCAAAAAATAACTCAAAGAGAATGAAATAAAAAATTATGTGCTTGGCTAAGTGTTTAGCATCTATAAATTAAGGCCTGATCTCTGTATTAAAAAATAACTTATGTATTCCGTTATTTAACTCAAGTCTAGTAACATTTTCTAATTTCTTAAGGTTGTTATTTCCGTTTAACGGTTTAGTCATCAAGTGAATAGTTTTATTTTGATACATCCTTGATAAATTAACCTCAACTTACGGCTCCTATTTACCTTTAGGATTATTATGTAACCTATATTCCACAATAATCGATCATTGTGGAATGAAATGAACTTGTTCATTTTCATGTGTTCTTGATTTTAGGTATTGATTTGCAAAAATCAAATGTTTTACAAATGTAATTTCGTTATTTAGTATACTATTTGGGAATAATCATAAATATTTTATATGCTTACGTAAATGTTCAATTTATATTTGATCAAGCGAACTGATTGCACGACATTGTATTGGATACTTGAAAAATTTTGATAATTTAGTAATGACTCAACATCTCTCATTAATTTACAAACCACTAAATATAAAATAATTAGTAATATAATTGTATAAACTTAATTAATAACATCATCTAAAATTAAAATTCTCCCTGAGTTACCGTTATTTTGCTAAATAATAATAAAACATGAAATACAAATGCACTCATCCAGAAGTACAGAGTAAAACGATCGAAATTTACATAATGCTAAAATTATCCCACCAATCGTAATCAACAGACAAGTATATAAATGAGTAGAGTTATTTGTAATAATTTATTGAACTTGATTCAATAAACTAACTTAGAAATAAATATAGCCTTAACTTGTCCTACTCATCTTAGTACATATATATATATATATATATATATATATATATATATATATATATATATAACGGGTTAGAATAACTATGTAAACATATACCGAACCAAATATTTTGTCTGCCTCTATTTACAGAGGTTCGTTGTTGATCAGTTGGGGTATGCACATCTTGAATGGATTTCGTCAATTGTTCCTCAGAAATTTTAGTAAAGTTGGACTCTGATTACCAGCAAGATTCAGAACATTTAGGTAGTCTTCTCTCGGACACGTCAACTAGATGTATTGAGTCCCGGTGTAACTGTTCACATCATAACTCACCGAGATAATACGATTGAGAGAAAGATACTTAGTCGATTCACAATGTTATTATCAACAGTATTATGAAAGGATATCCAGTTGATAAGGACGAAATACCACAAAATGCTCATCCTAAATTCCATTGATAGGAACAGTTTAACTTCTCAGAAAATCCCTTTGGTTAAAATTTTAGAGCTAGGAATCAGTACAAAGAAGTTAGTATTATTAAAGTGAATCATCAACAAAAAAAAACGTCAGGAACATAGAAATATTATCTAGAAATCGGTTTATAAAAAAAATTGCAAATGTCAATTACCTATATCTTTTTTTGTTACATAACAAGTAAATCACTATCGACATGGCCAGTAGGTTAGGTATAATGATTTTATTCTATGAAAGTCAATGAAGACTAATGTCAAGTTTTCAGGTTAACTGACTAAGATTCCTCAATTTTCACCTTTTTGACCATATAATGAAAGGCATAAAAATATGTTAACTGTTACAATAATCAACTAAACCATTTATTCATTTTCCGAATCTATAGTAAATCCATGAATAGAATAAACAAGACTGCATAAACGGAAATAGGAGAGGCAGACAATGAGCAGTTTATATTCACATGCTCAACTGAGCGATCTTGAAAATCATCACTCATGGATATGATATAGAATATATAATAATGGAAGCACTCAGTATGTTGTGTATATTACTCATAACGTGGGTTATGAGTAGTGAGCATTGGATATGCTGCGTAGTATCACCTAGATGTTACTGATGAAAGGAAGAACTTGAGATCCGGATGTATGGTGCGATCAGAGTTTTTCGAAATCTAGAAGGCGGTCGCTAATCTGTCTCTTTTGCAAATAGAAGTTTGAAGATAAGGTGTACAAATTTTGGCTAGTAAACTGCATCTTCATCAAATAAATCGTTTATTCCATCTGATCTTAGTCAATCGAATTTTGATAATAGTCGAAACATAAACAATTTAAGTACTTTAATTCATATCAGTCTTAATCAATAAATCATTTGCATATTTGGTTAAACTGCAACTAGTTTGGTTGTCTTAATATTTTCTACTTTCATGCTTAAAACCGACAACGGTCTCCCCTTTTTCTGCATACTTTCAAAAAAGCTTGTGAACTGAAAACTGCTTTTATGGTTTACCAAAATTATCTTTTTACATTTTTATTAAAAATTATTATAAAAGCATTTATAGATATAACTAGTTTCGCTATTTCCCACCACAATCAGCAATAAGTAATATTATCACTTGATCGATTACTGATTTATTTATGAAATATTTTCTCAAAACACGTAAATGATACCAATTCATTTATTTTGCAACTATACACTCCTCATTGTACATACACACCTGTTTTATGTTCA